TGTTCACTTTCACTCTAAATGAAGAATTATAGATTTAAATGAAATAAAATACATTCATTATATTATTATTTAATGAAATTGTTATTATTGTTAATAATAATAATACAATATCATTTTATTAATAATAAATATAAAGGCATATTTTATAATAACAATATAAAGATAATAATAAACCTCATATAGATAGCCAATTAAATGTATGTCAGTTTTTTTCCCTGAATTGTGAGAATCAAATAATGTTTAAGGAAAATAACAACCTTTAAAAAATGCACTAAGCATCTAATCCTTAATCATTTAAATGTAAATACGATAACGTGTGAGGGTTTGGTGGTTTAGGATTACGGTCTCAAAATCATTAGCTCTATTGAATATCCACACCACAGAGAAACAGATGTGTTTGTGTATGGGTATGTGGTTTGTCTTTAGTCGCAAAAGTGTGTGTGAAATTTATTTTTGTGCTTGTTCCCAAGTGAGTATGATGGCCATAGCAGAAGATCGCAGACTCTTTTCCGCTTGTACACACACACACACACACCCCATCACCACCTCCAGCCAATTTTCTTCAGCAAAGACCTTCTTCCCCCAGACAGAGCTCCTCTGCAAAGCTGCCATTTCAAAACATACAAATACATCAGTGGAGAAGGTAGAAGTCTTGGATAAGGGAGGGATTGCTTGCAAAAAGTGGAAGATAGTATTCAGCAGTAGCTTCCTCCAGGAGGAACATTTCCGCTGTGTTCATGTTTGAGAGCTTATTAGAGGATGTAAAGATGAGGAGATTGAGTGGGTGATGGCTGAACTGTGGGTTTGTGGAAGGTGTTTTTGACACTGTGTGTGTATCAGTGGCTGATGGAGTGTAACTCTTATCGGGACTAGAGATCAGGTCTCAGTAATTACAGGGTGGAACTCCAGATGGTGGCTGTTGCTGAGGTAACACATTAGCTGGAGCGCCGTCCTCCTCTAGACTGATTAAAATAAACACAACTCAGATCTGTGAATCCAAATCACAGGAGCTGTGGCACAAGTGTTTCTCAATTCGTTTATTTATTTTGCAGAAGGGGTGGGTGGAGTGATACAGGGTCATTCTCTTTATGCAGTGCTTTTTCTATCCCTGTGGAAAATCATCTCGGTTTATTGGAGGATTATGTGTTAAGTTTAGAGATATATTTACACAAAATATTGCAAATATTTGAATTTTAAGGCATTGTAATAATTTTGCTATCAGAGGAGACAGGTCTTCCCATGTGTGCAGATACTGTATGTCACCTTACTTAATGAAATTCTGTCAAAAGATCTTGATTGAGGTCTGTTTTTAAATCCTTTCTTGCATTTTCCACAACATCTGTCTGTCTATCGTTCCATCGATTCATCCATCATTCTATCTATTGTTCTATTTAGCTATCAATATATCTATTGTTTCATCCATCCATCATTCTGTCATTCCATCCATTGACTGAATGTGCTTCAACATCCATCCATCCATCCATCCATCGTTCTGTTGTTCTATCTATCGTTCTGTCGTTCTAGCTGTCATTCTATCATTCTGTCGTGCATATTTGCACTGCATTTATTTGATTATATACAATTTAATGCACTGCAAGTATTTTTTTATGAATGATTTGTTCTGATTTCCGTCTCTTCCTTTCTGTTTCTTCTCCAACCTCCATCACTCAAGCACTTTTTAGGTGACTAATGCGAGTGAGCTAATGAATACGCTTATCAAAATACAATTTAAAATGTTCTTCTTTATTATAATACTTCATGTAAGAGCTTAAAATTGCCTGTGCTGATTTCTAATTCGTAAATTGGGTGTGTTTTTATTCTCCAAATCAGGCATGTTACATTTACCTAGAAATGTTGGTCCTTTTGGTACAAATTGATCTATTAATTTGAGCACTGAACCTGGAATTAAATGTACAGTAACGTTTGCAATGACCATCCGATGTAGCTATCCACTCCAGTTATGCATTAACCAGTATATAACAAATCATTCAAAAGACATTAAAATGTTCCGGTCCTGTGAGCCAGTGTGAGTTTAATGTTTAAGCGTTGCTTTATCATCACAATTAACCTTGATATCCGGCAGCGAAAAGGCCCTACAGTACATGTACACACACATCAACATTGTGTTAAAATGCCCTCATGGGTCTAACTAAACCTGTGTGGCCAACGGTTTTAATGTTTGTGTGTGTGTGAAGGTCAGATCTGTAGAGCAGGTAGGAGTTTCAGACTCTCCTGAGGTCTTATGATCGGTCCGTAAATGAGATCCCACGAGGCCCAGAGAGCCCTGTCGCCACTCGCTGTTGCTTAGCGACCGTTCCCACGGCTCTGAGGGTGATATAAGGGAGCAACGGGCTGCCCACTGACAGTATGTGTGTGTGAGATGACCTGGTTAGTCTGCGAGTGTGAAGGACTCTGTGGTTTCGCTCCTGAGGGAGTTAAATAAGGTTCTGTGGTGCTAAAACTCATTAAATAAAAAGAAGGAAAGAGAGGAAAGAACAGTGAAGGAGAGGTTGATAAGTTGTGGGGTCACTTTCTCCAGCTTTTTAAATGACTTCTCTTACAAGTATTAATAAGAAATGTGCTTTCTTAATTAAAGTCTGGTTGTTAGAGTAGCGTCTGCATGATTACAGTTCACTGAAGAGAGGGCTGCACCCCAAACGCACTGCTAATACCTCATAAGGAGTGACCTTTAGAAAAAATAGTGTGCATTAGTCATTCTCACATGACGCTTTCTGAAGTTGAGGAAGTTTGTACGCTCTCTGCATGACTTTTTGACGAGGTGCAAGTCTGTCTGACGCCTGTGCTCTTTTTAGCTTTGCCATCATTAGCCGCATTTATATCACATTAAGACTGTTTCGTATTCATGTCTGGTTTCCGTCAGTCTTTGAGTACTCACTCAAGTAATTCTTTACGAATTTTCATAATTTTTACATTAAAATTAACTCTCAATTGATACATTGTTACTATTAATACAGTAGCATGTAGATTACTTTTTTAAATTACTTTTTATTTTATTTATTCCGATTATTTATCTTTCTGTACTACTAGTAATAAGTAATCGCATGCATTCTATAGAAAATCCAGTCTTTTTTAATTAATATGCTGCTTTTGTGGAAGGTGACATTTGAACCAATTCTTTTAACTTTGAGTTTTTCAAATAATAATACACAATGTGCATACAGTTCAATCTTTTAGTACTAAAGTAATATTTTAGGAATTTTCATAATTGTTTTTCATTAAAATTAAATATCAGTTGATAAATTGATACAGTAAAATGCATGTGGATGACTTCAAAAAATGTGTGCATAGCTAACTTTTTAATTTTAGAACTTATTTATTTTAATGATTATTATTATTACTATTTATCTTTCTGTACCTTGTACTGGTCATGATTTGCATTGAAACACTTGGAATTTAAGTCAAGTAACAACACGCAGTGTGCATAACCAACATGATCTCATGAGAATTTGTATGTATTTTATGCAAAACGTGGTTCTACAAAATGTACATTTACTTGCGTTTTCACAGGCACTAAAACGCACGATACTGACGTATTTACTTTATTTTAACATACAATATTGACGTATTTTCAGCATTTTAATGTACAACACTGACGTATTGATGACACCTAAAATGTAAACTTTACAGACTTATTAATCCTTAATTAATTAATTATGATCCTTAAATAAATTCTTCTGAATATTGAAATCGCAGCATTTAGGCCCTGTGTCCACCAAAGCGTTTTTCTCCGCGGCTTGCGTATTGTTTCAGTTGTTCTCAATGGGAGCGCCGCGTTTTTTAAAACGCCAGGAGCGTGCCGAGCGCTGAGCGTCTTTTTCACGCTGAGCGTTCAGCCGTTTTTTTTTTTACACCAATTATGGTGTAATTTTCGTAATTTTCGTAACTGTCGCCTCTGGCTTGCTTAGTTGGGGACACTTCATTTCCAGCGATACCGTTGACTTGATTGCAAAGATACTATTTAAACTGAGCTGGATGTTGACATCACTGAATTCAATGATGAACTGTCTTTAACTGAAAAATTTGTGTTTACTATTGTCATTTTGCATTATTGACACACTATTTTCCTAATTAATGCTGTTCAGTTGCTTTGACACAATCTGTATTGTTAAAAGCGCTATATAAATAAAGGTGACTTGACTTGACTTGACTTAATTTTAAGTGTTTCTTGTTGACATATTATTTAATGCATCATCACTTTGTTTGCAGTGAATGCAGTCTTTATTTGGAGATTTTTTTTTCCCCAGCTCTCATTATGTTGAGCTTCTTCATTTTACATCAGCTTGCATGTATGTGCTGAAATTAACTGACTTTTTAAGCTTAATTGATTGTTCATTAATTAATCACATGCATCCCTTTATTCACGTTTGGCAGTTGCACTGAAACTGTAAAACATTCTGACATTAATTGTACTGATTCCCCTGCTGAAACAGGATGAAATCCCCAGCCAGCGTTCTTATATTAAGCAAAGGGAGAAAGTGTGGGGCGATATATTGTTTTGCAGTCACATCGAGAATTGCTTTTTTTATCATGTTCTTTCAGGGTATATTTTACAGTGATAAGAGTTGAGACAGTGGGGGGATTGAATTCTCTTCCTCTCCTGGCAAGCACTCAGTCACTTGCTGAACAGTTTCCCACTGATGCAGAACTCGCTTCGTTTGTGCTTGGAAAGGAGTCACTAATTTGTGGAATTTGCCAGCTGACTTCGCTGGCACTGGACCTTCTCGAAGAAAGACGGAGGGAGAGAAAGAGAGATGAAAGTCCTTGAAAGATGGAGAAAAGAGGAGTTAGATAAAAGAGAAATATATAGGAGGAGAGTTTTGATTTAGTGGCAACTTGTTCACACTGCAAAACATGCCAAGCCTGGAGTCAAAGCTGAGATTTCTCTTTACTCTCCGAACAAACACTGCCACTATTCATTCCTCTGATAATAATCATAAGATCGGTGTTTTTTTTTCTCACTCTCTTTCTCTAATCTGCAGCTCTATGTGAAGCTGTGCTGTGAGGACGCACCCATGTTTGAGCATACGGAGCAGCTGTTAGCAGAGCTGGGTGGTGAAGAGCATGGGGCTGATGATGATGATGAAGCTGGACCATCTGTAGACAACATTGAGGATGATTTTATTCAAAGCAGTGATGAAGAAGATGATGCCATGGATCACTGACTCAACGTTTTTCACTTGTTTGTTCTAATTGTCATCCATGGACTCGTCCAATCAGAATATTAAACTGAAAGCAGATGGCTGATCTTCACAGTTTCCTTCATCTTCTGTCTCTCTACCAGTTACTTTTCTTCTCCCCTTCTATTCCAGTTTGATATGTCTGACTAAAGCTGGGATGTATTTTCTGTTTGCCTTGTTTTTTTGCATGCTGAGACTGCGAACCATCAGGACATCTGTCACAATGATCTGGACACTGATCAAGATGGTGTTTCATTTATTTTTTACTGTTTTATAAATGTTACAAAGCGCTAACAGTATCAGAATAAAAACAATTCAAAGTAAAGGCATTTCTAATTCCATTAAAAATATATATCCATATAACATTGTTCATATTTTTATTTTCTTTTTTAGACTTTTGTTTGTTTTAACGTATGTTATATGGAATGAGAACTGAAGTTTGATATAAAAACAAACTAAGCTAAATGCCAATACATGTTTATATTTCCTTGAAATGATGATGATGATAATGGTGTGAAAACATTGTCTCATTCTGACTTCATTATGACTTTAGCTCTTGTGTGAATATAAGAAGTCAATATCCAGAATCTGCACAATGAACCCACTAGCTGGAAGACATTTCGTCTCTCAACATACTTGAGTGTTTGTTAATGTCATTCCCTTGATGAGGAACTTAAGGATCATTTTGGTTATGAATGTGCAAAAATAGTTTTGTTTATCCTGATGCAGACCCCAGAAATGTGGCATTATAATGCCACTATCACAATACATTTGATAATGAGCCTTGATGTTTGTTTTGTATTTTCCGATGGTCTCTGTCTCTCAGTCTTCACAGAGAACCGTTTTTATGAACTGCTTCATTTTTTCCCATCAAATATTTCAGAGACACTAGAACAAGCCTCCTGAGTTCAAACGAGACATTTGGTTTCATTTTGTGAATCCAAAGCAAATCTCATAATCTGATCATATGAGGCCTGTCGGGTTCCCAGCCCTAATGAAGATTCTCAAGTTTTAATTAAGCTTATGGAGTTTTAGCTTCTGGGAGATAGAGAGTCTGGATGAAATATAGTCATATTTTGACTAAACCATTTTCTTTTTCTTTTTTTGGAACAACGTTTCATGTGCCCATAAAACCAGTATAACCCCTTTTACACTACAGTTCAAACGTTTTAGGTCAGTAGGATTTTTCTTTTTTTTAAACACCTCTTATGCCTTCCAAGACTGCAATATATTTGATCAAGAACACTGTAAAAACAGTAATATTGTCAAATAATATTACAATAAAAAAAAAAAATTATATTTGAATATATTTTAAAATTTACTTTATTCCTGTGACAGCAAAGCTGAATTTTCAGCAACCATTACTCATTTACATTTACATTTATGCATTTAGCAGACGCTTTTATCCAAAGCGACTTACAGTGCATTCAGGCTATACATTTTTTTTACCAGCATGTATACTCCAGTCTTCAGTGTCACATGATCCTTCAGAAATCATTATAATATGCTAATTTGCTGCTCAAGAAACATTTATTATTATTACTATCAATGTTGAAAACAGTTATAGATTTTATTGAAATACATTTTTTTGTTACAGTTATTTTAAGACATCCTTATTGAATAAAAGAATAAAAAAAAAAAATCTTATTGACTCCAAACAGTCTACATAACAGTGTATAGTAGTTTATTACACGAATGAAAATTGTGTATGTCTAGAGACATTATACAGTGTTTGTACTTTATATTGCACTTTGTACGGTTGCTTTACAGTCTTGCAAGGCCATTGGGATTGTGAACACCTTAAATAGTTTTTAACACAAGGCCTTTGATGGACATTTTACACAGACAGAGCATGTTTTATTAATTCACTGGAAACAGCGACAAGAAGGGAAATGACAGAAAGCAGAGCACAACTGTATGAATGAGAAACATTTATGCTAAAGCATGTCAAGGTTGAGATATATGTGTATTGATAATTCAATGATATGTTTAATAACTCCTGAAAGACGAATTCGTGTGCTGGCTGCAAAATGGATGAAACCTCTTTTATGTTTTGTTCTTACACAGTGAAGGCCGTTATGGGAAGCTCCCTTACAGAAAATCACCAGAAAACAACAGCCAAACGGAAAGATCGATGATAAATGTGTCACCTGAATAGCAGGTCTAACTTGCAGTAGATGTCACAGTGTCTGCAATTGTCAGGTCAGTCTCTATGATACATTTAGAGCCAACTTTCCTCCTGAGGGTCAAGATTACTCCTTGTACTTTTCCGATTTCAATTATAAAGGCTAGTTATCCAATTACCCTCAGGATTTGGCAATACAAAGCTTACATATCAAAGGACTCGTCACTTTTTGATCATGACACTGTATGTAATGAAAATCTAACAGTGAAATGCGAAAGTTTGGGAACCCCTTGCAGAATCTGAAAATGTGAATAATTTTAACAAAATAAGAGAGATCATACAAAATGCATGTTATTTTTTATTTAGTACTGTCCTGAGTAAGATATTTTACATAAAATATGTTTACATTTAGCCCACAAGACAAAAAAATAGCTGAAATTATTAAAAAAAAACCCATTCAAAAGTTTGGGAACCCTTGGTGTGGTTACCTGGATGATCTTCCACTGTTTTTTGTTTTGTGATGGTTGTTCATGAGTCCCTTGTTTGTTCTGAACAGTTAAACTGAGCACTGTTCCTCTGTGTCCTGCAGATTCTTCAGGTTTCCAGCATCTTTTGCATATTTGAACCCTTTCCAGCAGTGACTGTATGATTTTGAGATCCATCTTTTCACACTGAGGACAATTGAGGGACTCAAACACAACTATTAAAAAAGGTTCAAACATTCACTGATGCTCCAGAAGGAAACACGATGCATTAAGAGCTTTTTAAGAATGAAGAAAACTTTTTGAATTTGAAGATCAAGGTAAATTGTAATTAATTTGTCTTCCGGGAAACATGCAAGTATCTTCTGTTGCTTCCGAAGGGCAGAACTAAATGGGAAAAAATTATATTTCAGCAAAATAAGAAAAATTGGGACATCTTCGTCCTGTTCAAAAGTTTTCTCTTAATGCATCGTGTTTCCTTCTGGAGCATCAGTGAATGTTTGAACCTTTTTTAATAGTTGTGTTTGAGCTTTTGAATGGGGTTATTTTAATAATTTCAGCTATTTTTTTGTCTTGTGGACTAAATGTATACATCTTTTATGTAAAGTATCTTACTCAGGACAGTACTAAATAAAAAATAACAGGCATTCTGCATGATCTCTCTTATTTTGTTAAAATTATTCACATTTTCACAGATTCTGCAAGGGGTTGCCAAACCTTCGCATGCCACTGTACTTGATTCAGACAAAACCAGCTGCTGTTTACACCTTTATATTCGGTTGTCATCACTAAACAAATTAATTCTCACTTTCCAGCAGTTTTCCTGTCAATTTTATGTTTTTTGAGAGAAATGTGACGGCATGCTATGCCTTGTGGGTAATATGTTCATCCATCCATCCATCCCCTCATCCATCGAAGGGTCGATTTTACACTTGGGCTTTTAGAATAATGGAAAGGCACTTAAGATGGCAACACGCTTTCCACCGGAGAGAGCAGCATGAGGAAGAACATTGAGAACATGTTAAATTGTGTTATGAAATAGGGCTGTAGAGTAAACGTGTCAAGGGCAAGACTACTATTAAAATCTTTCATTTAACCTAAGGTTTAGTATCTGTTAGGTTCATTCTGAGGTAGAAGTTTTTACTCGTCTGGACAAAAATGTACTGTAATGTGGCTTCTTCCACAAATGCAGTACACTTTGGTGGCCTATGACTTTTATAAAAGCAGTAGAAAGACAAACACCATGCTTTTATTCTCTGATCTGTTAGATAGTATTATCTAACATAAAATTGACTTAGCATGAAAAGTAGCTAGTTTTAGAGGTTTTGGCCTCTTCTATATCATAGGATTTGACTTGACTATATCAAACAATTTAAACCAATATAAACGTATCACTAGCTATAAACCAAAATGTAGCCACAACTGAATGATTTAGGCTTTATTTAGGCTTAATTTTCAACTGTGATAATACCCGTTCTAGCCTAGTTTTCACATATTAGGGTTCACAAATCCCAAATTTTGGTAACAAGATTGCATAAATCTGCTAACACGAAGGAATACAAAATATGACAATTTGTATATAATTTAGGTTGACAGTCATGATTTTCTGAAGGTTTACGGAGGGATGGATTTTCATTGTTTTGTTTTAAACCCTATGACAATCAATAAACAAATAAACAAAATAAAATATTTTTTGAAAAAAACTATTTTTTGTTGACCAAAAACAGACTTTTTTCAAAATCATCTTATGTTCGACAGAAGAAAGAAGTTCTCATAGAGTTTTGGAACAATATCAGGATGAATAAATGATTAAACAATTTAAATTTTTGGGTGGACTATCCCCTTTAGCACCATTTGTTGAAAAAAAATAAATAAATCAGGCCTTATTTTGTATCATATTCGTGGAAAGTGCCATTTGTGGTTTTCCCCGTTACTCTTTACCATCACTACAGCCGCGGGTTATATGGAGGATTGAGTAGAAAGGCTGAAGCACATTAATAACAACTCCAATGACTAATGAGAGCTCGGCTGGAATAGGAGATATTTTTGGTTTTGTGTCAGAAACTCCTCTATGGCATACTATGTAGGGTTTACTGGCTGCACAGCCTAATACGCTAATTATCGTTTTTTTCCCTGGAACTAAATGAACATGCAGCTCATTTGTTAAAAGCAGAACTGCATTAAAGTACAAAAGTACTTAAAGCTCCTCTAATACTCAATAATATACTGTACAGGTAATTAATGTTTTTGCCTTGAGGAACGGCTTGTGTAGATAAGGCTTTACTGTATGGACCTTAAATATTTTATTCTTAGTGATGTCTTCTATGTTAAGTCAAAGCAGCTGATGTTGCCATCAGTTTTAATTGCAGACGTGCTCTATCAAAAACAGCAATAGCTTCGTCTTAGCTCCTGGAAGGCATGAGAATGGGATTGAAAAGAGAAAGCAAAAATCTAATTATTCAGTCAAATGAAAGTACTCTTATTAAGGAGAAATTGTTCAGAGAGATTCTTTGTTTTGTTACAAACAGATAATCACTCTTCAGTATCCACAATCAAATTATGCTGCTGTTGTTTATTCATTGCCTCAAGTTTTTAAATTTAAAACTGCTTTTGTTTTCAAGAGAACAGGCTTTTGTTTATAGCTAGGAGTCGAAATATTGATGGTAAGTTTAGATCAGT